TAACTTACACATTAGTTTTGATACAGGAGCATGTTTCATTTTCCATGTAATAACAGAGATGTCTTTGCTGACAATGAGTAGTTCTTTATCTCTGAGAAATCCCACTGAGCTCAAAAAGAACATAAGAATGACCATACTGGATCTGATCTAAGATCCATCTAACCCAGTTGTGGCAGCGCGTCGTGGTCCCCCGCCTCTTGCACCTTACACATTAGTTTTGATACAGGAGCATGTTTCATTTTCCATGTAATAACAGAGATGTCTTTGCTGACAATGAGTAGTTCTTTATCTCTGAGAAATCCCACTGAGCTCAAAAAGAACATAAGAATGACCATACTGGATCTGATCTAAGATCCATCTAACCCAGTTGTGGCAGCGCGTCGTGGTCCCCCGCCTCTTGCACCCCCGTAGTGGCACGAACAGACTCCACCAGCCAGTAGAATAGAGGGAGTTTATTGCTTCTCCAGGATACAGCACAGCACAGATGTAATCTGGTTACAGGAACTGGGGCTAGGAGGCCTAAGTGCCCCCCTTGAGATGGGGGGTGGCTGGGCCCTACAATCCCAGCCCCCTCCCTAGCTCCTTCTCCCCTGCTTCCCAGACCGAAACTAACTCTCTTGCAGCCCTGCCCCCCAGCCAGGGGTGGCATTCCACCTTCCTTTGTTTCTCTCCCTGGGGGATAGCTGGTCGGACAGATTGAGAGACCCTTGCCTAGTGACTCATCCCCTGTCCTGCTGGGCCGTGCTACAGACAGCAGCCAGTGGGGGTCACCCACAGCCCCAGCATAGCAACCAGCAAGGTACCTCCCCCCTACTATGTCACACCAGTATCCTGTCTTCCAATGCTAGGTGCTCCCAGAGGGAATGAACAGAATAGGTAATCGTGAAGTGATCCCTCCTCTGTTCCCATTTCCAGCCTCTGACAGAGGCTAGGGATACCATTTCTACCCATCCTGGCTAATAGTCATTGATGTATCTATCCTCCATTAATTTATCTAGCTCTTTTTTGAACTCTGTTAAAGTTTTGGCCTTCACAACATCTGCTGGCAAGGAGTTCCACAGGTTGACTATGCATCGCATGAAGAAAGTACTTCCTTTTGTTTGTTTAAACTACTACCTGTTATTTCATTTGGTGATCCCTACTTTTTATGTGATAGGAACAAGTACATAACTTTTCCTTATTTACTTTCTCCATACCATTCATGATTTTATAGACCTCTATCATATCCCCCCTTAGTCTCCTCTTTTCTAAAATGAAAAATCCCAGTCTTTTTAATCTCTCTTCATATAAAAACTGTTCCAAAACCCCTGATAAGTTTTCTTGCCCTTTTCTGAACTTTTTTTAATGATAAGATATCTTTTTTGAGATGAGGTAACCACATCTGTATGTATTATTCAAGATGTGGTTGTACCATGGATTTATATAGAGCAATAAGATATTTTCCGCCTTATTCTCTATCCCTTTTTTAATGATTCCCAACATTCTTTTGGCTTTTTTGACTGCCACTGCTCACAGAGTGGATGTTTTCAGAAAACTATCCACGATGACTCCAAGATCTCTCTCTTATCATAGAATACTAGGACTGAAAGGGACCTCGAGAGGTCATCGAGTTCAGTCCCCTGCCCCCCTGGCAGGACGAAATACTGTCTAGGCCATCCCTGTTAGACATTTATCTAACCTACTCTTAGATATCTCCAGAGATTGGGATTCCACAACCTCCCTGGGCAATGTATTCCAGTGTTTGACTACCCTGACAGTTAGTAACTTTTTCCTAATGTCCATCCTAAACCTCCCTTGATCCAGTTTAAGCCCATTGCTTCTTGTTCTATCCTCAGAGGCCAAGATGAGCAAGTTTTCTCCCTCTTCCTTATGACACCCTTTTAGATACCTTGTTGCTTTTAATCATTTAATCATTCTTGTTGCTTTTCTCTGGACCCTCCTCAATTTCTCCACATCTTTCTTGAAATGCAGTGCCCAGAACTGGACACAATACTCCAACTGAGGCCTAACTAGTGCAGAGTAGAGCAGAAGAATGACTTCTCGTGTCTTGCTCACAACACACCTGTTAATGCATCCCAGAATCATGTTTGCTTTTTTTGCAACAGCTTCACACTGCTGACTCATATTCAGCTTGTGGTCCACTATGATCCCTTTCTGCCGTACTCCTTACTAGACAGTCGCTTCCCATTCTGTATGTATGAAACTGATTGTTCCTTCCTAAGTGGAGCACTTTACATTTGTCTTTATTAAACTTCATCCTGTTTACCTCAGACCATTTCTCCAATTTGTCCAGATCATTTTGAATTATGACCTTATCCTCCAGAGCAGTCGCAACCCCTCCCAGCTTGGTATCATCTGCAAACTTAATAAACATACTTTCTATGCCAATATCTAAATCGTTGATGAAGATATTGAAGAGAGACGGTCCCAAAACAGACCTCTGCGGAACCCCACTTGTTATATCTTTCCAGCAGGATTGCGAACCATTAATAACTACTCTCTGAGTACAGTTATCCATCCAGTTATGCACCCACCTTATAGTAGCCCCATTTAAGTTGTATTTGCCTAGTTTATTGATTAGAATATCATGCAAGACTGTATCAAACACCTTACTAAAGTCTAGGTATACCACATCCACCGCTTCTCCCTTATCTACAAGACTCGTTATCCTATCAAAGAAAGCTATCAGATTGGTTTGACAAGATTTATTCTTTACAAATCCATACTGGCTTTTCCCTATCACCTTGCCACCTTCCAAGTATTTACAGATGATTTCCTTAATTACTTGCTCCATTATCTTCCCTGGCACAGAAGTTAAACTAACTGGTCTGTAGTTTCCTGGGTTGTTCTTATTTACCTTTTGATAAATGGGCACTATATTTGCCCTTTTCCAGTCTTCTGGAATCTCTACTGTCTCCCATGATTTTCTGAAGATGATAGCTAGAGGCTCAGATACCTCCTCTATCATTTCCTTGAGTATTCTCGGATCCATTTCATCAGGCCCTGCTGACTTGCAGTCATCTAGCTTTTCTAGGTGATTAACAACTTGTTCTTTTTTATTTTATCTTCTAAACCTCCCTCCTTCCCACTAGCATTCACTATGTTAGGCATTCCTTCAGACTTCTCGGTGAAGACCGAAACAAAGAAGTCATTAAGCATCTCTGCCATTTCCAAGTTTCCTGTTACTGTTTCTCACTCCTCACTGACCAGTGAGCCTACCCTATCCTTGGTCTTCCTCTTGCTTCTAATGTATTTATAAAAAGTCTTCTTGTTTCCCTGTATTATCTTCAATTCACTCCAAGTGTGTTCATTTTTAATATATAAGGAAACACCTCCTCCCTTCCCCCCATCAATCCTTCCTGTCATAATTGTACTTATTTATTAGCTCTTCCTGCTTATTACCCATACTTCTCACATTTGTATATAGGCATCTAAGATACTGATTTGACCTTGCCTCCCAGTTTTGCCCTGACCCTCCTTTCTCTCTGCCATTATAGCCCACG